CTTCATCCTTCCATCATTCCATTTACCTGTTAACCCATCCATCCATCCATCCAACCATTCATCCATCCATCCATCAAACCATCCATCCATCCATCCACCTGTTAACCCATCCATCCATTTACCATCCTTCCATCCATCATCCATTCATCCAGCCATCCTTCATCCTTCCATCCTTCATCTAACTATTCATCCATCCATCCATCCATCCATCCTTTACCTGTCCACTCATCCATCCATCCATCCATCCATCCATCCATCAATCATCCATCCAACATGAATCCATCCATCCATCCATCCATCCACCCATTAACATATCAGTCCATCCATCCATTCAACCTTCCATCCACCCATTAACCCATCCATTCATCCATTCACCATCCATCCATCATCCACCTATTAACCCATCCATCCATTGATTAGCCATCTGTTAGCCATCCATCCAGCCATCATCCACCTGTTAACACATCCATCCATCCATCCATCCATCCATCCATCCATCCATCCCTTTTCTGAGCTTATCCATGGCTGTCCAAACCTCATGACAAAAGATGAGGTTTGGAACATAGAGATACTGGAAAATGGAGAGCTTTGCCTTTTCACAACCAAGTGATTTAAAAGCCCCACTACATCTCCTTAAGTCAGTTGTGAATAGCTAAAAAAAACTTCCCATCTTAAAGGGCTTGGCACTACATTCTTTTTTTTTTTTTTTTTGACAAATGCATGTCTCCTACATATCTGAAGAAACCTGTGAGGCTAGACCTTTAAACAAAACTTAAAAGATAGAATGCCACATTCTCAATAAAGACGAACTAGGAAACATCTGTTTCTGCAAAAATCTAACTGTATAAATCTAAGGAATAATGCAGCGTTCATCTTTAGTCTCCCCATGCCTGCAGCTTTCACGGTGCTCTGCCCTCAGGAGCTGCAGTCACTGCTCATGATGAGACTTGCCTCCAGCTCAGGCTCACTAATTGTAAAGAAGCTGAAGTTCTCCTCAGTGGTGCCAATTTCATGACTGACCACATGGAAACAGAAAAAGGGATTCAACATCCCTCTAATGATGCATTACTAGGAACCATTACAGAACGTGCTTAAGCCCATGAGGTCTTTACCCAGCTTGATTAATTAATATCTGATTGGGGTTGATTTTAAAATAGCTGGAGTTCAGTGAGGAGGCTCCTGATGAACAGTGGCAGCACAATCAAGTCAAAACACACAAAGTGAAGCAGGTCTGCCAGGTTAAACACAAACATTACAATAATCAATCAATACCTATTGATAAAGTGTGATGGTTTTTGTTCAGCTTTTCTCTCATTCTTTTCCTTCTGAATAATATTTTGCCTTTAGCTGCATGACTGCCTTTTTTTTTTTGAAGGATGTATTTTGTTACATTTTTATATTTTACTTGAGTCCAGTCCCTCTTTATGAAACAAACAATAAATAAAATAAAATAATAAATACAATAATTATGGTAAATATTACTTTTTATATATTTTATTTTGTGAAAAACACTAGAAATTGAATCCTAGCAGAATGTTTGATAGTATAGTTCTAAAATTAGATCAAAAATAGAAAATTAAATAAGATTTGTACTTAATATGAGCAAAATAATAATGTAAAAAAAAAAGTAGGTTAACAAAATAATATATATTTTTATCCTTCTATGAGTAATGTATTTTTGAAATTTTATGGTTTAAACTCCACAATTGTCTTTCCTTTTTCTATCTGTTGGTCCGAGCATCTTTAGCCCTCCTTCAGTTTTGAGATGCTACAATTCAACTGATAATTAACCAGAAAAAAATGCCTATTTTTTATTTTTTCTCAACGCTTCCATCATCCATGTTGTTTTTAACTTTCTTTCTGAGCAGCCCAAATATAAACATACACAGAAACACAGCTTTGTCAAACTTATTGTTTGAGGTGCAGAAGAAGAGCTTTAAGCCTTCTGCCAGTTTCTGTCACACATTCTGCTTTTTTAAATTGTCTTTCTCTTGCTGTCTACAAGACCTCTCTCCTCTATAAACCTAACATTCAAGCTTAATTCAAAAACACCAAAAGAACACAAAGAAACAGCAAAATAAAAATGTCACTGTCTAAAACACCTTTTATTAACCGTGTTCAGAGAATATCTATCTTTGGAACTCTGTCGTATCTTTTTCTTTTTAAACTGTTGAATGTTCACATGACATCTAAAAAAACCCCTAAGTGAATCATTCTGATGGGAACAAATCGAATCTGTCAGCACACTCTACAAAAATGCATCCATGTTGACCCACAAATAAAACAAAAGTCTGCAGAGAACTGCGGCACTTTAATCTCAGAATGACCTTGTGACCGTGCCCCTGAGGTGGGATCTGGCTCTTCTCTTCTCATAATCGTTCAGAGAATCATTATTTCAAAGAGTTGCATTCTATTTCCTGCTCTAAAGTTTTACCTCGAACCGTTATGAAGACGAATCACTCGACCTTATCAGAGCCCTTTGAAATAAAAATAGGTGTGCAAGTTGTGAAGCTCAGAAGAAGAAAACTTTACAACGTTCAGAAAATCTGCAAACAGCACTTGTAAATACGACGTGACAGGATGTGATGAATAGGAAGCGAATGGAATAGCAAGGACACAAAGATTAGGCAAAATATTAAATAAATAAACGTTTTGTGTAAGAGGTTACCAAAAAAAAAGTGTGCTGTATCACCAAGTGTGTCAATTAAGACAAAAATATAAATGGGTTTAAGGTCATCAACATTAGCATTAACAGATTTTGTAGAAAATATTTCAGTTGCAGTTGACAAGAAATTCCATAAGGGTATTTTTTTATTTACATATAGCTATAAATAAATAAATATGATCATTAATATCACATACACTGGAACATTATGGTATAAAAGCTATTGCCAAACACTGGCTAACAAGTTATATATACATAATCAGTGGCAGTATAATAAAATGAATCATTTTGAATCATATTATAGAAGAGTAATCTGTGGAGTTCCACAAGGTTGCGTTTTGGGCCCCAAGTTAATTTATATTCTGTTTAAATGACCTTTTTAGATTGTCAAATAAGTAGGACTGTATCCTGGTGCATGCTCAATAATCCAGGTAGAAAAATCTAAAAAAGATAAATTTGGTCCTCTGGACATTCAAAAAACAAAACATAGTAGGATTGTGTTACATATGCGGATGATACTAACATATTTGATTCAGGAAATAACATGGAATAATTAGCGTAACTGTAAAATGGGAACTGATATTATTGAAAAAAAAAAGGTTTGATATCAATAACATATTTTAAATGAAAGTCAAAGTTATTTTTTGTTTTCTGGGAATTCAAGAAATTTAAAGAAGAAAGATAATAAGCCTTTCACTTCTTTTTATTTCTTTTTTTGACATACAAAGTTTTTATTTATTTATTCATAAATGTATTTGAAAATGTTCTTTTTAATTGACCTAATAAACTGAATCATTGTTAGATAACATAAACTGGTAATATTCTGCATATTAATCATGCTGCTTATTGCAGACAAGCATCCGGGCATCAGTATAGAAAACCTTGAAAAACATAATTTCCAACCACAGCAATTATTTTGCAACATCATGTTTATTTTACAAATTGCACATTTGCTTTTATCCTTGAACCTTAAGTTTTGAATTGATGGGAAATGTGTGGGATGACTAGAAAGTCAGCAAAGCGTTCAATGTCCACATCATTATCTACGGTATAAATATACGACCCCAAAAAAATAAAATAAAATAAAAAGCATATCATTATGGCAGAGGGTGACTGTTGGTCATGATGTAGAGTTGTAAGTTTTGGCTCCACAATGACAGAAAGAAGTCAGAAAATGTAGATAGTCTCAAAAATCTACAGTTTCTAAAACTGACCTGACTGAAAAATGTTGGATTTTATACCTGGATTATTGAGCATGGACTTTGCTGTTTTCAACCAGTTTGACAAGACTGTCAACAACGAAGAGGGCCGGCAATGGAAGAGGGGGCGTACCAAAGAGACCATCTTATCACAAGCAGAACTGGTTTGTTCCACTTTGGAGTAAGCTGTTGGAGGAAGAATCAGTTTTGTTGTGTGTTTCCTTGACTGATGAAGCCTTCTGGACCGAAGGAGAAACGTTTCAGCCCCCCAAAAAAGAAACTGTCCAGATGACCTGACTGAAAAATGTTGGATTGCATACCTGGATTATTGAGCATGGACTTTGTTGTTGGTTTCTAAAACTATTGTGGAACTATTACTGTAGGTTCTGAACTGTGGATCTGTGTAAACGTATATGAGATCTTGTTTGTATGTCATTGTATAGAATCATACTCTAGTCATTTCATATTGAAATTAATTGTTTCCATTTTAATGTTACTTAGTCGTGGTCATTATGAGCTGAACTGATTCCAAATGTTATTCAGGTGTTCTTGAACACCAAATGATACTTTTTAATTGCTCCCTGTGGTTCATGAGATTTATGGCTGAGGGTACAGACAAACACATCAAGCATAAACACACACACACACACAAGGGCAAAAACATTATTGCACATTTGTTTTCTGCAACACGGGATAAATGTTTCAATAAAAAAAGATAAAAATACATAAACTGATCCAAAAAAATCTTGTCATTTTCCACAGATATTCATCCTTATCCTTTAAGATATAACTACCACATTGTACATTAAATTCACATACGTGCAAAAGTTTTCAATCAGAGGTTTTAAATGTCTGTCTGTATGTATGGATGGTTGCATGTATGTACATACATACATATAGGTCCATACGTAAGTACTAACACGTACATAGGTACGTACCTACATGTACGTAGGTATGCTGTATGCACCTACATACATAGCAACATGTTTCTGCTCATTTTGTGGAACCCCAAGGTGATCCCAGGCCAGAGAAGATACACAATCCCTCTAACGACTTCTGGGTCTTCCCCAGGGCCTCCTACCAGTTCCTCTGCAGAATCGCCACCTTAACGTGGTGGAGGGGGTTTGAGTACCACAGTGATCTTGCGGGGCTCTGTTGTCTGTGGCATTATCCTGGTAGGGTATCCCATGGCAACAAGCCTCAGGTGAGGGGGTCAGACTAAGAGTGATTCAAAACCCTGATGGCAGAACAACAGTCGCATCAGGGAACCTTGCCCAGAAAAGGGAAACCGGGGCACTTTCCTGGAGCCAGGCCTGGGGGGGAGCTCACCACTGAGTGCCTGGTGGTCGAACCCTGGCTCCTGGGGCTTGGACAGGCCAAGCCCGAAGAAAGGACAGGAAGCCACCACCTGCAAGGAACTCTGTCAAGGTCGGGCGCAATGGATGCCGGGCGGCAGGCGAGGGAGGGTCCCTGGCTGTGCTGATTCTTGATGGCATAGATTAGTTTTAAATGTCACAAAAAACTATAAAACATCAGTTTATCTTCAAGTACATTGGTTTATCTGAACACTTATATAGCCTATTGTTTTTTCCCCATAGTTTTAGTGTTGTTTTCCCAGATCTTACCATCTCCAACTAACTGCAGCAGAGCCAGGTCCAGCGGTCGTTTCCAGCGGGAGTTCTTGTGCAGAGCGATGCCGTATCCTGTAGTGGCAAACACTTTCCCGGAGCCAATTGTCATCACCTTTTACAATCAAACACATGCAGAACAAAAAAAGGAAAAACATCTCATAAATCCTTCCTGTAGCATTAACGCAGTTGTCTTTTTTAAATGTTTACATTCTTTAAAATCCCCAAGCTGACGAACGAGATGCTGTTTCAGAGGAAGTATTAATATAGATCTACATCAGCTGTGATAATTACTGGAGCTGCTGGGAGCTCAGGCCTCCCACAGACTTTATAAATCATCTCTGAGTAAGTGTTGTATTATTTCTCTGCATAAGGTACAACCTTATAAATAAATCAACATCAGCTCTGTCCAGAAATGACATTAGCCGACTAAAGACCCAAGGAACAAATGTATATGCTTTGGGTGTGTTTGATTTATTAAAGGCATTTTTGCTCGCTTGCTGTGCTCCCCACAAAAAATAATGCAGATAATTTGAGATGCTTATATTTTATGATATTTCTTCCATTGCAAAAGGACCTCGGCAACGGCTGACTTTATGTATGAGGGTGTCACTGTGCAGAGCTGTGAAATGGCAGACCTATTTCATACCTTGCAGCCCTCATCCTTCCTGGCCATATAGTTCAGCACCGCAGCGTCATAAATGAAGGCATCTAGTTTTCTGCAAGGGAGGAATGAAGGAGGAAAATTACATCCAGGAATTGGAAATCACTGCCCTGGAACTAAATGACAATAGAGGAAGTGAACAAAATGGCAGAAAAAAAATATCACAATGACAACAACTCTGTACATAGGAAAACTGATTTCGGGGGGGGGGGGGGGGTGTCTTTCTGCACACCGTTTTGCACCGACTGTAAAAAAAAATAAATGTGCAAGGTGATATTCATCATAACAGTGGCAGAGATGTCATTTCTGCTGCTACAATGGCTGCAAAGGAGCAGCACACAATACAGCATCAAGGGAGGCTGTGATTCAAATGAAAGGGGCTGAATGTCACTTTAGCACAGCGGGGACAAAATGCTCACAGTCACTGTAATCTAGATCTGCAGCTGCTTGCACAATTGTAATTTGTTGCATAGATGTGTGGAAATGTTGATCTTAGTCGTTATGGGTCATGTTCCTGATGACATCACATCAGAATTATAATACGGTGGCCCTGAGGTGTAAATGCATAACATTTGAAAAAAAAAAAATAGTATTATATTTCAAACAACGCAACAAAAACACAACAACATTTGAAAAAACGGAATTACATTAAGCCAAAGCAGAAGTGGCCAAAGCGGAAGTGACCGGAATCACATTTTAAAAAACAGAATCACATTTTAAAAAACAGAATCACATTTGAAAAACAGAATTAAATTTGAAAAAAACGGAATTACAGTAAGACAAAGCGAATATGGCCGAAGCGGAAACTGGTCATGACCCACAACAAAACAACCATCAACATCAACGAGGACCCTCATCAGTATGCATACCATGAGAACTGATCAACAGAGGATGTCATCTCCTCAGTGGTCCACACTGCACTCAACCACCTGGAGCAGAAAGACTCTTACGTCCGTATGCTTTTTGTGGACTTCACATCTGACTTCAACACCATGATCCTCCAAACCCTGATGGACAAATTATTCACACTAGGACTAAGCCCCTCCATTTGCAACTGGGTACTAGACTTCTTAGCAAACAGACCACAGTCAGTGAGGATCCACAACATCTTCTCCTCCACCATAACCCTCAGCACCGGCTCTCATCAGGGATGTGTGTTGAGCCCCCTCCTGTTTACTCTGCTCATGTATGATTGTGCAGCTACCCATCCAGGGTGTCAAATTGTAAAGTTTGCAGATGATACAGAGGTGGTGGGATGCATCACAAACAATGATGAGTCCAGCTACAGGTAAGAGGTGGAACACCTGGAGAGCTGGTGCAAAGAGATTAACCTTCACATCAATGTGAAGAAGACAAAAGAGATGATTGTGGACTTCAGAAGGAACAAAAACATCTACACCCCCCTGAACAAAAGAGGATCTGCAGTGGAAGTGGTCTCCAGCAACAAGTACTTAGGTGTACCCTTGAATGACAACCTCAGCAGGGGCAACAACACCACCAGCCTGATCAAGAAAGCTCATCAGAGACTCTACTTCCTCAGGCAACTGAGACGAGCTGGTCTGGGAAGCTCAGTCCTCACCTCCTTCTACAGGTGTGCAGTGGAGAGCATCATGTGCTCCAGCATCAACGTGTGGCATGGAGGCTGCACAGCTGCAGAAAGAAAAGCTTTGCAGAGAGTGGTGAAGGCTGCACAGAAATCTGTTGGAATCAGTCTCCCCACCATCACAGACATCTACACCTCCAGATGCAGGAAGAGGGCCACCTGCATCATGAAGGACCCCACTCACCCAGCACACACACTTTTTGCCCCGCTCCCCTCAGGAAGGAGGTTGAAGAGCATTAAGTGTAGAACCACCAAACTGAGGAACAGCTTCTACCCTGAGGCTGTTAGACTCATGAATCTCAATGAGAATAACCACTGTGAAAAATCACATCATGTTGCTGCTTATCTGTTTCATGTTGCTGCTGATCTGTTTCATGTTGCTACTGATCTTTTTTTTTAATGTTGATGTGTTCATGCGTGCACATCTGCTCACACAGACATGTTCATGTTTGTGCTGCTGTTTGACATAATATTTTTACGCTATTAGTGCTTGGTGTATTTTTAGTTGATGTTTTTCTTAGTTAATATCTTAGATGTTATCATTGCTTTTCTTTAACATTTTTATTGTTGGATGTAACTGGGACCCTGTGTACATAATTTCGCTCCACCACATGTACCGCATGTGCTGCGAACGACAATAAAGAATCCCTGACTCTGAAAAGACTCAAACAAATTTAGTGAAAATTAGCTAGAGAGATTATTTTTTGCTTTAGTCGCTCTTCATTGGCTTCCAGGAACATCCAGAATTTAATATCCCTTTTCACATAAAGCTCTTAATGGCTAAGTTTAATCTTTTTTTTTTTTAACCCGTCACTGAGCCAAGATCTCTCCATAGAGCAGTTTAATCTCAGACTGAAAGCTCGATTTTTGTTCCTAAACTTTGGAAAGAAAGGATGGGAATGTGGGTTTGGGGTAGAAACCATCGACCAACAAGCTTTAATGAAAAGTAATGTTTTAATTTCACATTGCATTTATTACAATTATATGCAAATAGAGTAAAAATATATATTTTTCTTGTTCTGATCAGACCTCTCTCCATGGTCTAGTTTAGGTGCTTCAGACTCCTGACATTAGACAATATTTTTCAGTCTTTTTCTGTCTATGCTTCAGTTTTGCTGCTTTACACACAATCACCTCTTCTTTACATCATCTCTCTGTTTAGGGGTTTTATTAGAACTTGGTTAGCGTGATATTACATTTTAATTAATAGAGAGTTTGGGTCTGCAAATATTCTCCAAACAGCCACAGACATTGTACAATTTCAACATTTTAGAAAATATTGTAACAAAAATAAATAAATAAATAAAGGAAAAACTAAAATGATCAAGTTATGTAATAAACAGCAATCAAACCTCTAGGCTTTGGACACTTAGTCATGCAAATGCAATAAGTCTCAAAGCAACAACTTTACTTTCTTAATATAAAAAGTTAAATATTAAACACATACATCTTCTACCTACAAATTAAACTGCAAAAAAATAAAAAAAGTTTAAATAACCTATTGTAGAGAAGAGGCAGGGCGTGAAAAGTGTGCACCCATAAAACATTAATTAAAACCATTCACAGAGCAATAAAATGTTGAATTTAGCATGGCAGCTCAGACTGATGATGTGTATCCGGAGAGATGATGATAAATTTGTCGCTACACCTGCTCCTCCACTTAGTTTCATTAATACTCACATTAAGGGACCTGGAAACTATAACCTAACTAACTGCATGTACAAGCAGAGAAACTCTACTGAAGGGTGGGAATCTGAAAGCAGATGGCCTTTTGTATTATTTGCATTTTTTATTTAACTTTGCTGCGTTATTGATTTATCCATTTTGGATTCATTTGGGATTGTGTTGCATGTTACCTTGCTGATCATTTATTGTGCATTTTTTTGAGGCTGCCACCCACGACACGGCCAGAGACACTGACGGCTCACGCAGGTGTTCCCCATCAGCCGTAATGACACGAAATCCAGGAATGGGGAAATTAAAAGAGCGGAACAATGAGCAGAAGCATGCAACGGCAGAGCCGCAACCACAGGCGCAACGGCAGACGCGTGCAACAACCGCCGAGGGGCGGGAGGAGCGGCGACCGGGGGGCGCAATGGCCGGGGACAAGCCGGTCAGCAGAGCAGCAGGTTTGCAGAAAGTGAAGGCACGGTGATTAAGAGCAGGGGTAAGGACACACACAAGAAACCAGCTAAGCTGGTCGGGCACGGTGGATCGTGCCCGGTTGGAGGGTGCAGTTATCCGGGTCTGGTGTTGAGGGCGGAGGACTGAGCGTTGGAGATCGCTGGAGGTCGAGGTCGCCACGGGACATCGGACTCAGGAGGAACAAGCGCCGGGAGAGGTCGAGGCCGTGGAGGGACGTCGTGCTTGGGCAGGAACGAGTGCTGGGAGATCACTGAAGGTCGAGACCGCCAAGGAACGCCATGCAACCAGAGGAAGGACCACACTCACTTTCAGCTAAGACTGTTTCTTTTCCCCTCAGACTGCTTTTGACCGTGATGCCCTTTTAATCTTCTTATTCGACAGAAGTTGGCTGGTTTTTAACAACTGGACTGCTGCAGCGTTTTCCATTTGTTGTATTAAATTACTGTAAACCTCTGTTTTGTGAAACACCGCTCACCCCTACAATAAGTGACCTAATTTTATTCCTAGTTAAGGTGACGTTGCTGATTAGTTTCATTTTTTTTTTCTGTCTGACTAAAATAAAAGTAGCACCACTCGGCAGCCGACATTCACATGCCAGGAGGGGTTTAGATGGGGGACGTGTGAACAAGAAAAGATAAGCGATGTGATAACGGGTGATTAGAGGGAGGAGAGAAGGAGCAAATGAGTCCATCAGTGATGATCAGGGGGTTGTTGTTTTCATTATATTCCACCTCAACTGTGGAATGAACTTCATTTTTTACATTATATTGACAGTATTATATTTAGTCTTGTCTATCTGGCAACCCTGCCTGGCATAGAAACTACAGCAGATTCAGCGACAGCATTACCTATTTAAACATGTGTTTTCACGCTGATAGACCATGTTGAGCAGTGGAAAAACTTTGTTTCCAGAGATTGTTCTCATGTGAACAGAGCCTTATAGGACTTTGAATAATCTGCAGCTTCCGTATGTTAGTCTGGAATGTGTGTGCATGTGTTTTCTTGGCCCATTAGGCATTTTAAACCCTAATCTGCATCAATAGACAGTTTCGCTCCTTCCAAAACACCACCCTCCCTTGTGACACTTCAAACACAATGAACTGGTGTATTTTTTATGGTAAGAGCTTTGTGCTCTGGTGCGTTTTTCCCCCACTGCACTGCGGTTTCTACAAGGATGTTTTATTTACAAGGTGCCTGTTGTCCTTAGTCATTTGTTTGCCTCCCTCCTCTTCCAGTTTGTGCAGTAGCAACGATCCTGATGGGACTTTGGAGGTTACAAGTGTTAGTTGAAGCTCCTCGGGCAATGCAGATCAATGCACTAACAGGCTGAGTCGGGCATAAGAGCTTCTGTAATGGAGCCGGGCACGGATGACGAAACTGCCTCCAGTCAAAGATAAAAAAGTAAACAATTCAAAGGGTAATATCTGTTGTAAATGCTATTGTTAATAAAATATATGGAGGCTTGTGAATTACAGAATAGTGGCAGAAAGCTACAGAAGGTGTTTTTAGACTCAAGTGAAGATGACAGTTGAAGTAAATCTGTTGTAATGAAATGTCTCGTTGGCGCAGTCAGTTTGTTGGTTGAAGCAACGTTTATGTATTTTTGTCATGACACGTGTGTTTCCCATCTGTTGTGTAATAATCTGCTTTTAAACTCAGACAAGACTGAGGTTTAAGTTTTTGGACCTGAGCATCTTTGGAATACATTTTTCAGTCTTTCTCTCTCCTTGGAGGACATTAATCTGTCCTCCAGCTCTAATGTTAAAAGTCTTGGTGTTATTTTTAATCAGGACGTGTCTTTTATCCCCCACATTAAAAACGTTACTAGAACCTCCTTCTTCCAACTGCGTAATATCACTAAAATTAGAAACATCTGATCTAAAGATGATGCAGAAAAACTGGTCCATGCATTTGTCACATCTAGACTGGGCTCTTGCAATGGTTTGTTATCCGGGTGTCCAAATACTTCTTTAAAAAGTCTCCAGTTGATCCAAAATGCTGCTGCCAGAGTCTTAACTGGATTTAGTGGGAGAGATCGTTTCTCTCCAGTTTTAGCTTCTCTCCATTGGCTCCCTGTCAAATCCAGAATTAAATTCAAAATCTTACTTCTAACCTACAAAGCTCTCAACAACCTAGCTCCATCTTATATTGGAGATCTTATTGTTCCATATGTTCCTAACAGAGCACTTCACTCAGACTGCAGGTTTACTTGCAGTTCCTAGAGTTTCTAAAATCAGAATGGGAGGAAGATCTTTCAGTTCTCAGGCTCCTCTCTTGTGGAACCAACTTCCAGTTTCTGTCCGTGAGGCTGACACATTGTCCAGTTTGAAGACTGGGCTTGACTTGGCTTGGTTTTCTGATCTATTCCTTATCCTATGCTGCTATAACCTTAGACTACTGGAGAACAAACTGACCTCATTTCATCAAACGAACAGTTACATATACATATAGTTTGTATTTGTAATTATTGTTTCTATCTTTTTGTCTTTCGTCCTAGAGAAAACCTGGTGGCCCCCATCCTGGACCTGTCATTGTGTGTTTGTTTTATCCTTCCAGTCCTCTTAAACCCAGCCGGTCGAATCAGATGGCTGCTTGTCCTGGGGCTGGTTCTACTAGAGGTTTCTTCCTCGTGAGGGTGTTTTTCCTTTCCACTGTTGCCTTTGTGCTCGCTTAGGATGAGGGACTGCAACAAAGTGAAAACTCAATGCAATCTGCTGGATCCTTAGATAAATAACGTTCTTACCCGATATACTGATGCGTGCTCAGGTTCTTAACTGAATTTTTATGTTTGTGAATGTTTCTGTTCAGTGTCCTGGGACAACTTCTTTTGTGATTTGGTGCTATATAAATAAACTGAATTGAATTGTTGTGTCACCTGGCTCCACTTTACCTTTCAGAACATGTCGGTCAGTGATGCTACTCAGCTCACTGAATTAAAAACACCAGAACTTCCTCACAAAATGTATCTCATGTCACTAGAAAAAGGTAGGATCAGTAAAAAAAAATAAAAGTTGATCTGCAACAACCAATAGGCCTTGTATGCAGTCAGCTCTAATGATTCTTTTTAATTATTTTTGTATTTTATTTATTTAACCTGACATTAAGTTTGCTTTTGGTAGAATGAATTGGTTTGTACAGTTGCTTCAAAGTAAGAAAGTCTCCAGTGCAGATTATAAATGCTCCTAACTTTACATGCACTGCAAAAAAACGATTCTCAAGAAAGTTAAAAATCCTTGTTCATAGACATATTTTTTTATTTTTTTGTCTAAAAATAAAACATATTCTTAAGATGCAACTTTTGCACAAGACAACTAAGCTCATTCTAAGAACATATGTCTATTTTTTTCTAGAGATATTTCAGCTCATCTTGAGTTTTACCAGTTACAGGGTGTGGCTATGGTTTGGTTGAAATTTCAGAATAAGAACAAGATTATTTTGCTTCTTTTTTTAAAAAAAAGTAAAGACATTTAAACAACTTCTCTAAGAAATGTGACATGTGTGTCAATAAAAATGCAAAAACTAAGAATGCTTCTGGTGCCTTGATTTAAGATAAAATCCCTTAATTTTTGTATGTTTTCTTCAACATATGGTTTTTGATAATTCTTATTCTCAGAGTTGAGATATAATTCTTAGTTCAATCAAGAAAAGAAAAAAAACAAGTCAGTTTTAAGAAAATTTGTCCTGTAATTTATTTATTTTAGTTTACGTGAAAACTTACATTTAGGTGCAAAATCCTAAAGTAAGCAAATCATTCTTGAAATCAGCTTGTTCAAGGATGCATAATGATTTTAGGTAAATATTTTCTACATATCAGTGTTTTTTCCTTGTTATAAGTGACATTTTCTTAAATGACGCATAAAACAATATTAAAATCAACTTAATCAAAGGGGCATAACAATCATTTGAAGAACATATTTCTTAAGGAAAGCAATCTTTGCCTTTAAGATGTGCAATTGTCTTTAATTCTGGACACTTATATTAATTTGTTAGTTTTAATAATTCTAGCCAAGCAACGTATTGGAAGGTTTTTTTGTTTTTTTTTCCCAAAAATAAGAAAACTTTATCACATTTAGGAATATTTGGCTTATTTCAAGTAGTGCTGGTTTTGCAGTGTGGAGCTTGCACGTTATTCACAGGTGTAACGCTCATACATGGTTGTGTGTCTCTGCAGTGAAGAGGTTTCATTTCACCCAGTAACAGCTGGGATCAGCTTCCAGCATCCACCTAGCCTGACCCCGAACAAGAGCAGGCGGGTGTGGAAAATGACTAAATAGCCAGTTCCGCTCTGGACACACCGAGCAGATGTTAATCGCACCAGTTAAAACAGCATGACCAGTCATTGTTTGCTAAATGAACAGCTGCTTCTGTGGACGTCCGTGATCGAGCTGATGTGCATAAATTGAATAAATGCTTTGGTCATGAACACATCTTAGCAACCACTCTAAATGTTGCTGTTGATTCAACTACATTTTCAATTTTATTCTATCATGTGTTTCTAGAAGTCGTCCACAACAAGAGGTTCACTTTGATCTGAAAACAAAAAAACAGTTCTTCCACACAACTTTGCAGTTTCATCTACTGCAGGTTTCTGTTTCCTGTTCCTTACCCAGTCTTAAGGTTGTCGATGGCCTCCTCCACGCCCTTCTGGTTGTTGCGAATCATGTACTGGTGCATGTTGGGATAGTTGGAGCGGATGTTCTCTTCGGTGCTGCCGTTCGGCACCGTACCAAAGCGCAGCGGTGGGTACTGCTCCGTCGGATGCTGAAACTGCACAAGGAGAACAGGTGGGCTGAGATTAAAGTGACAGATGGGAAGAGGGGAGTAAAAAAGAGAGAACCTAAAGAAGAAAGAGAGAGGGTGATAAAGGACTGCAGAGGTTCAGTCTTCAGTTCCTCCATTTCAAAGATGAGTCTAAATGTTACAGTTGTCTGAAGAGCTGAGGGAGAGTTTGTTCAAACACATGAGAATTCAAGTGTTCTAGAAGCAGGAGGCCGCTGGAGAATTGGACTGGAGAAAGACTGGAAAAGAACGGGCAGCAGAAAGAACCATCCATCCATCCATCCATCTATTTATCATCCATCCATCCATTTATCCATCCATCTAACCATCCATCCATCTCTTTATCATTCATCCATCCATCTATCCATCTCATTATCCATCCATCCATTAGTCCATCAATTTATTTATCCATCCATCCATCTCGTTATCCATCCATCTAGTTATCATCAATCCATCCATCCATCCATTTATCCATCTCTTCATACATCAATCCATTAGTCCATCAATTTATTTATTCATCCATACATACATACATATATCTCTTTATCCATCCATCCATCCATCAGTCTATCAATTTTGTTATCCATCCTTCCATCATCCTTCAATTTCTTTATCCATTTATCCATCCATCCATCCTTTCATTCATCAATTTATTTATCCATCCATCATCCATCCATTTATCCATACATCCATTTTTATCATCCATTCATCATATCTTTATCCATCCATCCAT